GTGAATAGGACATTTTTTTTTATAAATTTCTAATTTTAATATTTGTTTTTATTTATCAGCAATATTACTAGAAAATTAATAAGATTGATTTTTCTTAGAGTTTGGTTTTCTCTTTTCTTCTTTACAGTTAAATTCCATAAAACTCGGTATCTTTTTTTTAACAACTGACTTTTTTTTTATTAAACCACTATAGTTTTATTTTTGTTAAAATCCTTTTTTTTTTTCAATTTTCCCTATAACTTTTTTTATGAATGGAAAAAATTAATCGTAAGATTAACTTTCTAGTTAAAGATGGTTTTTATATAAAAATTTAAAATTTTAATGGTTAATTCATACAAAAATCTTCAGAGTGGTAAAACAAACCAATTTTTAAACTATAATGTTTTTATAAAATTTAAGATTTTATTTAGTGATTTTGTTTAAAAAAAAAAGATTAAAGTAGAAAATTTCTTTTGATGGTTAAAACAGGATAAAATCCAAAATACGGAAACTATTCTCGAATTTGTTCTTAAATTTTTGTTAAAATTTTGATTAATAATATAATTATTTTAAATTATACATAAATATGTTAAAAAAAACATAAAGACAAAACTGCACAAATGATCCATGTGGTTTGTTCAAAATTGATACTTTGGTCCAAAAAAGTTTTGACTAGCACCACAGGTCCAAAGTTTTCATTTTGTTGCGAGTTTGGTCCAGTTTTCTATAAACCTTTTCATAATGACTGTTTTGCCCTCACTGGATCGAAAACCACTCCACCAACATACCTCAGACCTTCTTCACTCTCTTCCATCCTTTTTCTCGTCCATTTTCTTCCAAGAAACACAAAGGAAAACATGGCAGCCACCACTCGTCACCCCACTGCCACCTTCTGCCATCATGTACCACCATTTCACAACCCATTATCCCTCCTTCTTCCGGTGACACAACAACCCCCAAGCAACCCTCCAACCTGCTGCCTTACCTCTTCCTACTTCCCCTCCGATGATCATTGCCGATATAAGCTAAAAGGAAGCAGCCGATAGACTGTCGGGCAACCTCCTGCCATCGTAGAGTTGCTCTTGGTCACCACCATCTACCACCTCTGTTATGTTGTTGCTGCTGCTACTACGTAAGAATGACAATGAGAGGTTGAAGTCGCCGACAATACTAGGTTTAGGAGGAGAGGTACGCTACTCATGTCATCTGAATTTCGAGTTGCAGGTACGTTATCATTGTTGCTCCAATTGAGGGTTTCGGAGCCCTAATCACACCTAAATCAAAATTGTCGGGGCAAGCTTCAATATCTGGTAAAATCACACCGCAAAGAGAGGGTAATTCGAACCCTAGATGGATGAAGCAGGAAATGATGAGGGAGCTGTTTGGGAATCGAAACAGGAGGCAAAGCGGAAGATACTCGACTACCTTTCTTCTCCGGTGAATAAAGAAACATAGCTGCTTGTGATCGGGACTGTTTCAGCAGAGATCGACCCTGATCAGAGGGTGTTTGGGTTCGCCAGTCGACACACGAGGGAGAGGCTGGATAGCTTGATCGGAGGCAGCAGCCTCCGGTCTCTGTTTTGGGTTTCTCGACGAGTGAAAGAAAAACGAGAGAGAGAGAGAGAGAGAGAGAGAGAGAGAGAGAGAAAGAAATTCTTTTTTATTTTTCTTTTAATCAGAAAAAACATTTAAATAAATAAAAAAATAGAAAAAGAAAATAACAAGGGTAAATCCGTCATTTTAAATATTTTTAAATCAAATTGGACCAAACTCGCAACAAAATGAAAACTTTGGACCTTTAGTGCTAGTCAAAACTTTTTTGGACCAAAGTGGCAATTTTAAGCAAACCACAGGACCATTTGTGCAGTTTAGTCAAACATAAATATGTTCTTTTTATCAAGTGAAATGGGGAATGAGAGTTTTTTTTTTTTTTTTCAAAACAAATGGTAAAAAAGTGTTCTGAACGTTTTTACGCTTTTGTGTTTTGTCTATGGATATATCCTTTTTCTTTCTCCTACCTTTTCTTAACAAATCTATCAATAGTTTTATCATTTGCGCATTAATAATTGTTCCTTTCGCATCATTCCTTGTACATTAATGACAAACCCAAGCAGCCAAATAAAGTGTCATTCCTCTAAAAACCAAATCCGTCGGTTACGATTCTCATAATGATGAAACCATCACAGGTAGATAACAATGTCGGAGGAGGAGGAGGAGAGCTCGGAGAGAGTGAGGCAGGTGGCGGCGACGGCGGTGGTGGTGGTGGTGGATCGTTAATGAATTGGCAAAATGCTAGACAAAAAGCAGAGGTACTGTCGCATCCGTTGTACGAACAGTTACTAGCGGCTCATGTGGCTTGTTTGCGCATCGCAACGCCGGTGGATCAGCTACCGAGAATCGATGCACAGCTTGCGCAGTCGCAGCAAGTGGTTTCGAAGTATTCCGCTCTTGGAGGCCATGGTAATCTTGTTCATGATGATAAGGAGCTTGATCAATTCATGGTACGTTTCTTCATTTCATTTTTTCCTTAAAATATTATCTGTAATGATCGTTAAAATCGGTGAATCGTTTTAGTAACTTCTGCTTAATCTGAATCTGTATGTTGCAATGGATTTATCGGTTTCAGCTGTGCAGAAAAAACATAGCCTTAGAGAATTTGTTAATTCTGATGTCGAATGCCATAATTATTTCTAATTCCATTGAATCAGTAAACTGTTTGCTTATCAAAAACCAAAAGCACTCTTATCATTTCCATAATGAGAGCCTTCTGATCTTTGATCTAGACATCTAGGACCACATATAATTGACAAAAGTTTCAGAAAAGTTTATGCCCACATATAATTGTGTGAAGATGTAGATGGCGTTTACAAAAGAAGATTTTGATTTTAAAAGATAAAAGTATCAATAATTGATAGTTGTCATTGTATATGTGTAATCATCACAGTTACGCTAGTTATAATATTGTTTTATATTCATTTTTCACAATTAATTAGATCTTAAAAAGGCACAAAACTAAAATTGATGTAACAATGATATTATGTACTCTTATATATTCACAATGCAGACACATTATGTTCTGTTGCTTTGTTCTTTCAAAGAACAATTACAGCAACATGTTCGAGTTCATGCAATGGAAGCAGTAATGGCCTGTTGGGAGATTGAACAGTCCCTACAAAGCTTAACAGGTGACGTATAAGGTTTTTCTCTTCTTTACCAAAATCAATTCAAACAAATGTTACATTCTTGAGTTGTTACAAAATTGCCATAATTTATTCTTTTTGGTTGAAACAGGAGTGTCCCCTGGAGAAGGCACAGGGGCAACAATGTCCGATGATGATGAAGATCAGGTGGATAGTGATGCCAATTTATTTGATGGAAGTCTTGATGGACATGACACCATGGGATTCGGCCCTCTTGTCCCAACAGAGAGTGAGAGGTCATTGATGGAACGTGTTAGGCAAGAGCTAAAGCATGAACTCAAACAGGTGAGACAAATGAGCTCTACACCTATTTTAATTGATGACGGTAACAAGGGCATTTTTGTCTTTTACACAGACAATAAATCAATAGTCAATCCTTGTCCCATCTTTTGGCCTGAACTCAAACACATTATAATCTGTTTTGTCATGTACTTTATCATTACATTGAATCCTTGATTTTTTTTATTTTTTTTTTTGTTATTAGGGTTACAAGGAGAAGATTGTGGACATAAGAGAGGAAATATTACGCAAAAGGAGGGCAGGAAAACTGCCTGGTGATACTACCTCTGTTTTAAAAGCTTGGTGGCAATCACATGCCAAATGGCCATACCCTACTGTAATTTTTCGGCCTACAACTCTTTTAAGCATCCTTTAAAATCATGAACTACTACTTTACTTTACTACTTTAAAAGCTTGATAGCTTTTGAATTACGTTATTGTGTAGGAAGAAGACAAAGCACGATTGGTTCAAGAAACAGGGCTACAATTGAAGCAGATAAACAATTGGTTTATCAATCAGAGAAAACGCAACTGGCATAGTAATCCTTCCTCTTCTACAGTCTTGAAGAGCAAACGCAAAAGGTATTATTATATTTTAATGCAACATCATCATCATCATCTATTTAATTTGTATAAAAGAATTATAGAAATTAGTTTCTTATGTACTTTTTATAAAATAATAAAAGGGGCACCCACCAACACTAATCACAAAAAGAAGCAATGCAGGTGATCGTGATGGTGATCATATCATGTAAATCAAGCAAACCTGTACATGTAATCTACGAGCCCAACCCACACACAGATATGCAACAAATCTCAAACCAAAAAGATGAAAATGGTGAGATTTGCATTTTTAAAGTTATATATATGATGATCGATTAATACTATATATATATAGCTTTTAACTGTATTATTGTTGTGTTTTTGATAGCAGTTGTATATCATAATAATTATGTTAGTGATTCTTATAGTTTCTATGTGTGCCGATTCATAGGCACTCTTCGTATTGCTTATGATATTTTGTTTTTTTATTGATTTTTTAACTAATAAACATTACAAATGGTTATGTGAAAAATTAAGCTTAGAAAATCAAATTGTTTTTAACTAAACTGTCTCAAAGATGCCTTTTGGAAATATATATAAATGAAAAAAGAGTCAAATTACATAAAAACCAACCATTGTGTTTTGGTCATTTTTCTGGTTTAACCAATATGTTTTAAGTTTCGACAATGAAAGTCACCAACGTTTTACAATGTTGATCGCTCAATAGAAAACTTTGTCAAAGTTTAATGGCTTTAGTGAAAATTTTGACATTAAATATTCAATTAAGGCCACTAAATTTTTGATAAAATTTCTATTGCAACTATTTTAACCTACAATTGAAAAAATTGGCAAACTTGGTGATCTTCATTAACCTTAAATAATTATTAACCAACAAAAATAGCCAAAGTATAGTTGTTTTTATGTATTTTGTCAAATAAATGAAAATCATAAATGATAAATCATTTGATGGAACGATGACTAAAAAATGATAGAATGCGCATTCGTCTTGTCACGGTCATCTGATGTACCTGAAACCATGAAACCAAACTGTAAGTCAAAACTTAGTGAGTACCCCCAAAATACCATACACAAAATACAATAACAATTACATTAAGTGCATATAGGGTTTGTTGGCCCAGGGCCTCAACCCAACCATCTGGGTTTGTTGGTCCGCCGCACGAAGCAGTATCTCAACCCAACCACCAATATCTCGACGTATGCAATAGATAAACAGAAATCAGCAAGTACAGACAATCATACATATCTACCAATATAACAGGTAACTACAGCATAACAACATCCTATATACCAGGATACATAACATAGTGGGCTGACATTGGTGCCTTCGACCCACGAGTACAGTGAGAAGAACTCACCTGAACCACTTGACAGAAGCCCAATAGCTACCTCAGCAACAACACAGCCAACCCAAACTTCCCAAAACCAAACCGAGACCATCCTTTAGTCAAATACTAAATTTTACCCAAGTTTGACCAAATGTCAAACTAGTCAAAAAGTCAACGGTCAAAGCTAAGGTCAAAATTGCCAACAACAGCTCTCCGCGTCGTGGCCTTCTTTGGCCACGTCGTGGGATGCCAAAATAATCGTTGACTCTCCAGTCACCACGTTGTGGTAGCCTAAGGCCACGTCGTGGGGACTAGTCTGAACCGCTCAAACGAGCTTAATCCATTTTCTTCCCATTTCAAGAGCTCCAAAGCTCAGATCTGATCCTTTCTAAGGTCTTAATGGATAAAGTGTATAACTTTATCCATTAGGAAGGTCCAAACCACCAAGATGTGGACTTTAAGTCTCAAAGTGACCCAAAATGCATCTTTCTTAACTTAATCCATTAAGTCCATGTCTTTAACCTTTATATCTGGATCAACATGTGTTTAGATGGATAAAGTTTCCAACTTTATTCATAACAAAGTCAGTAACTTTCAAGATCTAAACTTTAATACACCAAAATGACCTAAAGGACCAAGATAACTTGTATGACTAGAAGGGAAGGCAAAAGGTCATAACTTTCTTAGTCCATGAGGTCCAAGAAGCATTCTAAATTGATCAAAATATGTTGGAGTCCACTCAACTTCAAGACCACCCATAAAATGGACCAAAAGTGTCAAAAACCCCAAATGACAAGATCTAAATAACTAGATGACAAGATTGGAACTTTATACTTACAATAGTCTAGAAATATAGTGTTTTTGACGGATCCAAACTTGAAGCGTCATTCCTTGCAACCAAAAGAACCTTCTTGATCTTTAAACTTTATCAAAATAACATAAAAAGCATCCAAATGAGGAGAGAGAAGAGATGAGAAGCTCAAATCTTGAAGGTGGAGGCTAGGATTTCTCCCAATGGGTCCTAGAGGTGGTGGAGGCTGCTAAATGCCCAAAAATGCGGAACCTTATGCTTAAATACGTTGAAAACCCTAAAATCATGGGTTTGGGCCTGACAGACTACCACGCCATGGGCTCTAATCCCCACACAGTGGCGATGGTTTTCACCCAAATCCACCTCAACTTCAAACAGTCATAACTTATTTGTTTCAACTCCGTTTTCGATGATCTTTATATCCACGGAAAGGTATTGACGAGTCCCACACTTATATCTAGTTAATTTTGGCTTAACATATGTCGAACTAAAAACCACAATCCATGAAGGAAGTTCGAAACATCATTTTCTCATTTTACCATTTGACTCCAAAACACAAACCAAGGGATTAGATCACATAATCAATATTATCAACATCCAATAGGGTCTAAACCCATTCTCTTGAATCCCAAGGCCTTTACTTGATCCATTTATTGTCCACAATCCCGAAATAAGAAACTTCTCGAAACAAGATGTTACAGAAAGAGTACGTCACATAGCATACTCTCTCTTCAGTGGCGGCCCTGGGTGTGTGCGAGTTGTGCGGTCGCACGGGGCCTCCGATTTTAAGGGGCCTCCAAATTTAGGGAATATATATAGTAATGGTGTTGCTTTTTTCATAAAATACATTTTTATGTACTTTTATTAAAGAACAATAGCAGTTAGTTCTATACACAATGTAACATTTGGTTGCAATCTTAAAGTAAATTTAATTGTGAAAAAATCAAAGAAAAAGAAAAAAAATCAAAATCTTACCATAAATTCTATAATCTATCAAAAATTTGAGGAAAGTATCTATATAAGAAAAATACATATATGTTTCTAATATAAGTTCAAGCAAATGTTATAATTTTTATAAGACTCGTCAAAAGATCAAACCCTAACAAACCTAATAACGGTACTAGTAGATTGCCGATGTTGCCCGTCTCTCTTGGCGGAAACTGCCGTTTTTCTATCTTGAATCTTGATATCTCGCCGAGTTGTTGATAGTCTCCTTGTTCTTCTGCAATCCTCTAATTGACTCCCAAACTACGGGTTATTGTCTCCTATGTCTTTAAATTTCCCAAATCCCACTCGTACTTAACTTCTTTCTCTCCCATGCTAAATGCCCCTTTTTATTTGAATGATTTATTTATGAATTCATAATGAAGTAGAGAAAGTAAAAAAACAATGTTCTTGGTTTTCCCTTATATATATTATAATGTCTTGTGAATTGTGTTTATCATTCGATCACTATGTTTTATAGCTTTAGCTTTTCAATGTTTGGTATAGAGGGGTCATAGTAGAGCATTGACAAATTTTAGGGTGGGGTGGGCGAGGGTGGCAATGGCTTCCTATTTTTTGGCTTCTAATATTAATATAATATAGTCTAATACTTAGAAAGGTTATAAAACAAAATTTTGTTTGATGCTCTAACTGTTTTAAACATTAATTTTTTATAAATATTACAAATATTTATTGTTAAGTTATTAACATTGATTATTTTTTTGTTAAAAAAAAGATGTCTCTAACTTTAATCGAGTTGTTCTAAACGTAAAAGAAAACAAAAAGAATAACAACTTATTCATTGTCAAAGATGATATGTCAATCGATTTATCGTCAAACAAATGTCAGAATACCATCGTAACGAAGAATCATTTGTGAAAGAACATAGAGAAGAAGAAGCTGAATTACGTGTGTCAGAAAACATGGATGAAGTTCATGAACCTGTGGAAAAACCTAGTGAAAAAATTCATGATGGTGTGGACGAACCTAGAGACGAAGAAGTTGAACTGCAAGTGCCACAAGATATGCCTTGTGTGGATGAATACATAGCCATCTTGAATGGTAATGATGATGACAAAGAATATATTCCACGAACACGTATGATCCTAGAAACTAGAACATCTAACGAGTGAATACATTCAAGAAACTAGAACATGTATGATCCTAGAAACTAGAACATTTAACGAGTGGATACATGATGTTATGGTAATGAATTTACGAGATGTTTGTTAGCAACTTTGAGTTTTGAATTTAGTGATAGCAAATTTACTTAATAATATTTTACAAGAAAAGATTTTATGGGGGGCTCACTTTGATTTTTGCACAAAGCTTTCGACATGTCAGGGTCGGGTCTGTCTCTCCTAGCTAACACCCTTTGGGAACCCAACTTTATTTAGACTAAAATTTATTTAAATGTTCAATAAAAACAAGTTGGTTGCTGAAAACTAGTCATTAAATTATATGGCTTATCCAACGATTTGGCTAATCTATTCCATGACTTGTCCACGGTTAATCTGGTTAACGGGTGTGACCAATGGAAGAGCAGACCGGATTCAGATGGTTACTACACAGTAGGAGCATTAAGAAGGCTAACTGACCAACAATCTATCCCTAGTCAATCACAACCTCCAACGACATGGCTTAAGGAGGCACCGATCAAGGTGAACTGTTTTTATATGGAGAGCATTACAAAAGAAAATACCTTCTTTGTTGGCTCTGAGTTCGCGTGGTATTGAAGTAGACACAACATATTGTGGGGCATGTATCAATGGTGTTGAGTGCGTTGACCATATTTTAGTGACATGTCCATTTGCCAGTGCAGTGAGGAATAAAATATTCGATTGGTGTGGTATAAGACATCAAGCACTCCATAGTGTCAGGACCTGATAAGCTTCGCTGCAAACTGGAGTCAGTGTCCAAGTAAGAAAAATAGATTCATGACGATATGTTACAGACTGATCTGGAGTTTATGGAAGTGTAGGAACGATCAGATATTTAAAATGGCGTTTATTAGCCCCTTTGGCGGTGCTGAGCAGATAAAATCATTGGTGTACTTATGGATCAAATATAGGGGGAAGGGTGTCTCTTGTAAGTAGAATGAGTGGTCATCTTCTCCATTCCATGTTGCTTAGCTTCTTACTTTCTCTTTGTAATTTTCTTTTCATTAATTTTGAAGTTTGTGTGTTTTCCTTTTCTACTCCCTTGCTAGTTACTTACTAGTCGGGGTTCATTTTAATAATATTTTGCCGTTTCTAAAAATATTATATTGTATTATATGGTGAATAGTTAAGATCTTAATGAAATGTTCCTTTGGTAATTAAATGATTTCACCAATTCAGTAAAATTATATATGGTATTTAATCACGTCCTCAAATTGATTTCATTGCTTTTGTTTGTCTAAAATTTTACTTTTGTATTAAGCTTGTAACAAGAGTTACTTTTTCTGAATGTCTCTACATCTTTAGGTTTCCAACTGCGGAACTGTCTATTAATTTTTACTAAAGATCCGAACCAATACCTAAAACTCCATGAGAAATGAAAGGACATGAACTGGCCCGTTAACACTATTCATCGGACTTTTGCTCATAAATCAGGCCCAACGAAACTACAAATGTTAATCCACCAATCCACATGAATTAAATATTGACGTCTTATAGTGGATCGAAAACATGAAACGACCTGATCTATCAACCTTGTTTGTGACCTTTTAATACTTTATATAAAAATATTAGTTTATCACTTTGAGATAAAAAAAAACTATATAAGTATGGTATAAAATAATCTATGATGTTATAATCAATTATGTATTTTCTTCTGTCCAATTATATATAACTTCTACCGATAAAAGCAACACGTGTGTCGTCGATATGACTCAACTAAATGCATTATATATGCGGTGTGTGTTGCTTTGTCGTCACATAATCTCAATCGACATCATTTGTTTTCTTAAAATTTTTGACATTTTATTTATGGGAAATTTTAGTTTGGTTATTTTTAGGTTTCACCATTGAAATATATATTTTTTATGTTAACCACTAATAGTAGAGGGAACCATACCACACACCGCATTAAGTTTTGAGAATCCTACTTGTAACACCCGGTTTTCAAGTATAACTTTGTACACTGTTTTGGAATCATTAAGTTTTGAGATTTCCTCTTAGTAGCAGTGCAACCAAGTTAAGGGTCTCGATACGAATTTTTCACGGTGCGACCTTTAATGAAGCTCACGACGCAATGGACCCAACCCTTGAAGCCTCAATATTTGGGCCTATTTAGTGGCACAAACCTCTAGGCTTTCATCATTCACTTAGCCTCCATCTCATAGAAACCATCACATGCAAACCCTAGCCTTTTCTTGAGTTTTGAGTTGTTTTCTTCCTTTGGTGAAGCTTGAAGGTGTTCTTTGTTGCAATAAGTTGTTGTTCAAGTCAAATGCAGCAAGTGTCAACCCTCTTTCCTTGCTTAAGACCTTTATGAGTATTCAAGTTACATGCTTTTTCTTCTTGAATGATAGATTTAGGCTATTTTGGCTGGGGTTTGGTCCTTTCTTGTTGTTTGGGTGGAGTTTGGAAAACTATAGGCCCAAGGTTTAATCTTGGGGTCTTCTGGACCCTTTATGACAGATTGAGATGATTTTTATCTTGCATTTGACGTCATGCAAGGTCATGGGTTCATTTTTGGTCTCTTTTGACATGGGTTAATAGATCTTGGCATCTAAGGCACCCAAATGGACAAAAGTTTGGAACTTTATCCATTAGGACCTTGTTTTGATAGGTTCGGGAAGGATATAGTTTAGGTCTTGAAGGATTATGACCTTAGGGAAAAGGTGGATGTTAAGTTGGGTTTAGCGGTGCAACTACCTTGGTGTCACGACGCAACATCAAGGGTCTCACGACTGTTTTGTCACCTAGTGATCACGGTGTGAGAAATAGTTGGTCGCAGTGTGATGGTCATTGACTGTTTCCTTTTGGTGATTATTGACATTTTGGTCAGTTTGACTTTTGGTCAAACTAAGCATTTTATGTTATAGACTGAGGTTTGACCTATGTTTAGTTTAGGTGGTGCTTATAGCTGATTGTGCGTGACTTTGAGTATTATCATTTCAGGTCTTTGATTTAAGTGAGTCTTCTCACTATACTATGTAGGACACTGGTGTCGATGTATGATTGTTGTATGTATAGCTAGTTGTTTGTATGCTTACATGCTTGTTGGGTGAGGACCGTTGGTTGGGCCCGCATGATTGAACAAACACGTTAGGTTAGGCTCGTTATTTGTATGATATGTGGTATTTTGTGGAACTCACTAAGCTTTGTGCTTACGGTTTCAAGTTTAAATGTTTCAGGTGCTTCATGTAGAAAAAGGGAAGGGCGCATCGTGATTACATTGCATATGTTGTTATGTAGCAAAGGGAAGTACACACAGGCGCAACTTTATGTTTTATTTTAGGATGTTGATTTGATTAACTTTATTCCGCTACTTTTAACCGTTGGTTTTTGGAACATAGTTGAATGTTATTATTATGATTGTTTCTGGTTAAAGATTATGGTTTATATTAATGGTGAAATGAACTCTATTTTAGTATTTTATATTAAATAAATGGAGATTTAAAAACTTTAAATTTATTGTAATTTTTGGGACTTTACAAGGGTTACATCACTAAAGTCAGCCATACAATCTGCTAATGCTTGCGACTTTATTGCCAATCTTGGTTCATACTTGATGTCATATGTGCTTAGCTTCACAGACCATTTTTCCATTCTTCCTGGCATCTCAGATTTTCTCATAACATTTGAAAGATAGAGTAGGAGTGGTTCTCCATCTAATGGTTTTACCAATAAAGGTGTTGAACTTAAATACTTTTTAAGTTCCTGGAAGGCATTTTTGTGCTCCTTGGTCCACTCGAATCTTTTATTCTTCTTCAATATGTCATATAAAGGTTTACACCTCTCTGAGGATCTTGAGATGAATCTATTTAGGGCTGCCACTCTTACTGTTAGTCTTTAAATGTCTTTGGTTGAGGATGGGGATTTTAGATCAATGATAGCCTTGATCTGTTATGGGCTTGATTATATTCCTCTTTTAATTACCATGTAACCTAGGAACTTGTCGGATTTCATTCTAAAGTGACATTTGGAAGGATTCAACTTCATGTTATACTCGTCTAGTATATCAAAGGCTTCTGCAAGATCCTTGAGGTGATCTTCAGCTCTCTTGGATTTGACCACCATGTCATCAATATAGACTTCCATGGTGTCCCCCAATTTGTCCTTGAACATTCGGTCTACTAGCATCTAGTATGTTGCTCCTTCATTTTTAAGACCAAAATGCATGGCAATATAGCAGTATGTACCTGTAGGGGTTATGAAGACAGTATCCTCTTGATCGGATGGTTCCATCTGTATTTGTTGGAATCCTGGTGAAGCGTCCATGAACGTCATTAGCTCATGTCCTGTCGTGACATATATCATCGAGTTTATGTGTGGTAAAGGGAAAGGATCCTTAGGATATGTATTGTTGAGATCTGTGTAATCCACACACACTCACCATTTTCCATTCTTCTTTTGGACCACCACTACGTTGGATATCCATATTAGGAACTTCACTTCTTTAATCATCCTTGTTTTGAGAAGTTTTTCAACTTCTTCTTAAATGATTTGGTTCCTATCAGATGCAAATTTCCTTATTTTTTTGGTGTATAGGCCTAAAAGAAGGATCTATATTGAGTTTATGAGTTATAATTTTCTTATCTATACCTGTCATATCCTCGTGCTTCCAACCGAAGGTCTTGTTTTTTATCTTTTTGGAACTTTATTAGTTCTTGTTCAATTTGCTATGGTATTGAGGATCCTATGAGGACTTTAGCTTCAGGATCCTTGAGGTTTAGGGGCACTTCCTTTACGTCTTGCTCTCTAGTCTCTAGCACACTTCATTCCCGCTGCTCCCCGACAATCTTCATTGTTCCCCATGGGGTAGGCATCTTGATGCACTGGTGGTAAGTTGATGGGATCGCTTTCATGTCATGAATCCATGGTCTACCTAATATAACATTATAGGAAGACAAAGCATCAATAACACAAAAAAGGTTGTATCGAATTTACCCCTTCAATGTAGATGGGTAACTTGATTTCTCCAATGGTGTTCTTTGTTTCACCACTGAATCCTATTATGACCAAGGATCTCTTGATTATTTTTGATTCCGATATGTTCATCTTGGTTAGAGCATCTAAAAGTGTAATAGCCACTGAGGATCCTCCGTCTACCATGATCCTTCTGACAAAGTGATTAGCGATATATAGAGTAATCATCAACCCATCATGGTGAGGATCCAATATGTTTTCTCTATCATGTTCGTCAAAGATGATCTCCTTGTTGTTTGTTATCGATGTACTTTTTCGGGGTCTTTCTTCCTTTTCCGTCTTGGACACTTTGGCGTGCCTTTTAACTACAGAATAAGAAGTTCCACAGATATCAAATCCTCCGGAAATAACATTGATTACCTTGCCATCCGAGGGAGGGGGTCCTGGCTTTTCCAAGATCATAGGCGGATCCTGATCTTTCTCTCTGGATCTTTCATTTCTTCTTACTAGGATCTCTTTGAGGTATCCTTTGCTTAGGAGATAGTGAATCTTATTCCTGAGAGCTATACAATTCTTTGTAACATGCCCTAAGTCTTCGTGGTATGCACACCACTTAGACTTATCCTTCCAGCTGGTGGACTTTTCCTTTCTATGGCGAC